GCTGATATCACCATCGATTTAGTTTTCTCTGTTGGAATCACCATGTTGTATATGAGCGCCGTATCTTCGAATTCTTTAATTAATCTCCAGGTCATCTTCATTTTCGGCTGGTATTATGGCGTCATCGGCGTAGTATATTATCTGCATTTCCTTTTCTCCTATTCTATATCCTCTTCTTTTTTTATATCAGTGGGCTCAGCGAATCTCCTTGCCTAATGCCAGTTTCATACTTGATAGGTTGCGAGAGTTTTCCGTTACATCTTACCATAGCTATGTTACCTTTATATACGAGTATATTCTCTATAGCTTTTACTAAATCCAGTGGTATCCCCCTGTCATATAATAAATGTAACACTAATACGTAAAAATAGGTGGTAGACAAGGACCAGTCGACCAAGACCGGTACCAGCCGCTAGGTTTTCCCAGGGTGCCTTATAAATGTCCGCATGTTTCCACACCTAAGCTATGCAGTCAGTTATCTTCCAAAACGAAGAAATTAATGATGATGGATCCTCGAGCTCCAAGAACTCTGGACGTAAACTCACTCCACTCTCGGAATGTCCGGGTGGAGGGTGGACTCGAGGGAACAACATCGAAGATAAAATTTGTTTTACGAACATCTGCGGCATTAACAGCAACACTGATACTGTTCGTCACTACCTGAAATCCAATCGTCCTGCTATGCTTTACTTGGCGGAGGCAAAAATCTCAGGGTCTGCACCGATTAACCATCTTAACTTCCCAAACTACGAGGTGCACTCCAATCTGAGAAAGAACGGGGAACTTGTGGCTTTTATCTGCAGCAGTCTTCCCTGCTCCAGAGATGTTTCTTTGGAATCAGACCGGAAGGACACCCAAACCCAATTGCTGCCTTGATTTCAATGCCCATAATGAGCTTTGGTTGGGCTCAAACAAGACCGATGCATCAGGTCGTGCAGTCGAAGCATTGTTACTCAAGGGCTGACCCAGCTGGTGACGAGCCCTACTTTTTTCCCCCGCGTCTCGTCACACGCCAGTAGCCTGCTGGATCTCTTTCTGACCACGCATCCTGTCCCTTACAGCACTGCTGTCCTGTCTCCCTTGGGTAACTTAGACCACTGTATTGAGGAGGTTAGGTTTCGGTAAAAACCCACGGTTTCAGCAGAAACTTGTTGCACAGGTCGCAAATTTGGCATTACGGACATGCCGACTGGGAAGGGCTCAGAGACTTCTTCTCTAGCTTTCCTTGGAAAGATGTCTGTTTCAATGACGCGGATGCGTCGGCGGTCCGCTCTTCGATGACCGACATTATCCACGTCGGAATGGAGAAATACATCCCTCACACAGTGAAAGTGCCTAAACCAGGGTCCAACGGCAAGTTTAACCAATCGTGTAACACTACTCGCCAGAGGAAGATCAAAGCACAGAGAACCTTCTTACAAAACCCCACTGTAGAGAACACACAAACCGTCGTCGAGTCCAGAAACAAATATAACGAAGCGGTTCGCAGTACCAAAAACCAACATGATATAAAAGTTAGGCACAGGGTAATCTCGCAGCGCAGTGGCAGTCGGTCTTTCTGGACGCTGGCCAAGCAGATTGAGAAGAATTTGTCACGCAGTAGCCTTCCACCGTAAGACGAGTGCTCTTCCCAACTAACAATTATCACTCCTATTAGAGTTGCAAGAATGATTATACAGTATTCCTTACACAGCATTGTATAGTGTAAGAACATTGGCAAGACCCTCTTAGAACAGCTATACAAGCGGAATGGGCACACCTAATAGGACACTTCAGTCATTTAAGAGGTTGTATAAGGGCTGCAGGTAAAAGTTATACAACAAAAGTGTAAGCCTCTTGCAGCCGCTATAGGACATTTGCGTCAGTGCAAGATTCAGTTTTTGTCAACTTTACAACTATTCTGTTACGTGATTCTACTTGGTTGCAACCAAACTATTTCTTTTGTATTGTATAGGCGAAGTGAAGAATATATAACTAACACATTACAGTCATCTTGTTTACTTACATATCGGCCATTGTGAATTTCATACACATGTATATGATAAACTTCTACACTGTGATATAGGGCTATCGAATTACTTGCGCAGAAATTTTTTTTGTGATTATCGTGCAAAGTAGTTACGCAATTTCTACGGGCTTCGTATTTGATTCATATTTTAATATTGATCAAAAGTATGTCTAGATTTTTAAGATGGAAAACTAAACTTATCTGCGTTAAATCTTCCACAAATCCTATATTTAGACACAATTATACTAAGGTCCATCACTTCATATGTGTAATTTCGAACTGAAACATAATTATTTAATACTAAATAGAGGAATAAATGTTTGCCCAATATGGTCCATGTTGTCTTTGGTTTATTAGAATATTTTGGTGTTGCCTGCAGGTGTTATACAACAATTTGACAAATGTCTAAGATGAAATACCGACAGAGTTTAATAGTTTGCCCAGAATTTGTACCAGTTGTATACCAACATATTTAGCAACAATTTTGTACTACAAAAGTTGTAATATTGTTGCATATGTACAGCCTTTAACAGTTACTAAGGCCCGTATCGTCAGTCGTCCCTACAATAATTGTAGGACGCCTTTTTGGCCTCCTTGATTGCCATAGTTTTCCACTTGTCCGTGTCAGAACTCTATTTTGAGGTTATGTCACAAACATCTATTTGCATGAAATTGTGCTTGCTTTTGAGTTATATCATGTTTTATCAGCCTGAAATTTACTACAATTTAAAAAGAAAACATATCTTCACAATAGGAGAGCGCTGACGCTTACACTGGACAAGTGTAATCTAGAAATTTTTGAAGGAGAGAAAGGAGTATGACAATCAAGGAGGCCATAAACGCGCCCTACAATTGTAGGGACGACTGACGATACGGGCCTAAACAATGTACAAATAGGTGCTTTCGTTGGAAGCAATTTGTTGGCTAAAGTAGTAAATTTGCACAGAAAAGCATAAACGTTGCCATGGATGTCACATCACAACCATTTTGACTAACGTGCAAAGATGCCATATAAAATAGTTGTATAAACGTTTATGCAACAGTTAAAATTTTGTCTCATAAGGTGTTGTATAACTATGCTATAAAAATATTTTAAACACCTCATTTTAGAGCAAATATGTTGCAGAAAGCAAATTTGCATTCCACACAACATTAAGCCAGCATTTTGGTGTTCAGGCAACAACAATAGAGATCTTTTCTGGCTGAACGGTTCCTTTACCAAAAGCTTATAGCACTACTTTGCTAGTTGGGTTGTCTCGCTCGGCATCAATAAAGCTTCTGGTCCGGACTTGATTCCCGCTATTGTACTGAAGAGGTGTGCAGCGGAGCTCCAGTTCTTTCGCATCTCTTCCAGATGTCTTATGAATCCGGCACCTTCGCAGACAACTGGAAATTTGCTCATGTCCCTCCCATCTCAAAAACAAAGGATCTAAGACCGACTCTTACAACTACAGGCCTATAGCTCTGCCCTCTATTATAAGTAAGGTGATGGGGAGGTGCATAAACCGCGAGTTCAACAACGTCACAGCTTGACTAGCAGCAGACAGTATGGTTTCAGGCACCAACGATCCACAGGGGCTCTCCTAGCTTACGTCACGCAATTTTGAGTCTCATGTCGTTGCTCTTGACATCATGAAAGCGTTCGATCAGCTGTGGGATGCTGCCCCCTAAAGCAAACTTTAGATGGGTGGCTGACTTTATCTCTGGCCGCAAGATATCCGTCGTAAATGACGGGTTCTCCTCTTCATGCCACAACGTCAACGCGGGTGTTCCCCAGGGATCGGTCGTGGCTCCGACACTGTTTCTCTTACATATCAACGACTTCCTTTACTGCACGATCAATCCAATCCACAGCTTTGCTGATGATAGCACTCTACATGCAGGAATTCAGAGTGACAAGCCGATCTCTGCTGAGTTGGAAAAAAGAAGTCTAGCGACAACTTCCTCTCTGAAAAGAGACTGGAGGCTATCACTGCTTGGGGACGCACCAATGCTTCCAAAACACAGTACTGTACTTTGACGAACAAAAAGCGTCCTAGCGTCTGCCCGGTTTCAATAGATGGCCGGGTTCTGCCAAAGAGCCATTCATTGCGGCTGGTCGGAGTCGAGATCACCGAGGACCTGATCTGGCACGAACACATTTCGTCAATAGCTGCAGCTGCTGGGAAAAAGCTAGGATATTTGTTTAGGGCCAAGAAGTACTTTTCTCCGCATGACCTTCTCACTCTATACAAGGATCAGATAAGGCCTAACCTCGAGTATTGCTCACACGTTTGGGGTGCTGCCGCCCCGACTACATTATCCATGCTCGATGCTGTCCAGAGGAGGGCAGCCGGACTGATCGATGACTCTTCTCTAACAGACGCTCTCGGGACTCTTTCGCACCGGCGGGCCGTCACAGATCTAGCTCTTTTCTACCGCTAGACCAAAGGGCTTTGTTCCTCAGAGCTCTCTTCTATGATGCTGCCACGCGATGTGCCTGCCAGACAGACCCGCCTGACTTTGGCGTCCCATCCTAACCGTGTCGAACTTCGTACATCCAGAACTGGCCGATACGACCGCTCCTTTGTCCCGAGGGTGTCGAGATTGTGGACATTCTACAAGAGGAAGCTTTTCCCAGTTCTACTAACCTTAGGCAGTTTTACATAAAATCGTATTAACAAAATTTCTTTAGGATCATCATAGCAGCCGCGGTGTTTCGGCATTTAGGCTTCCGCCTGCGCGGCTGCTTCGATATAAAAAAAAAGTTAACAGTATAAAAAGTTAATTGTTCTAATGGGTTGTAACTCACGACCACAACGTATAATAAAGCCCAATCTGTTGTAACACTCCATATGGCAACATTCGATTCCGTCAATATCAAATAGCTATGTCCAATTGTCTTGGTAGAGTCAGTGTATACACTCGAACTGTTTATGAAAGATTAGTGAAAATAGTCAGCAAAATGACTTGAGGGTCACTTATATCCAATCCATTATTTACAGACACTTACCGTTTTCTCCATATATCACCCTGAAGGTGTCCGAGTGCAAATGTCCAAAGAACTGTCCAACGATGATGGAAGCGTACCTGCGGACAATCTTGAGGTATTTCTTGTTGTGATGGTCTGAATACGATATGTGGGAGGGAGGGTAGGCACCTCTATGGCGTTCGTTTGAACCTGGAGCTATGTGACCCACGAGGTATACCTGGAACAAGAATACTTCATGAGTATTATGGGAATTTGGTGGCCTACAAACCATAAAACCATATACAGTCTTTCATATACTGAGATAATGACACTTCGACATCTTAATCATAAGACCAGTATATGAGCATGTTACAAGTAAACAGGTTGCCCTACTGCTTGAAGCGTTTGACCATAAAATGCATCTAAAAAGTGAAGTCTTTAGCACTGGAATATAGGTAGGTCATGCGTTCCCAGCTTAAGCCTCAATAACGCCTGCTTCGATACGTTTTAATAATCCTTGATAAAAATTGTCCATTTCCAGTATACTGAAGAGGTGTATTTACATACTGCATCGCCATGGAATAATTTCCCTCCGAATATTCCAGTCCATTTTAATAAATCCTCTCGCATCGCTAAGTTCGCGCATCTAGCACGTCAAATTCTACGAATATATACCCATAAAACCAAAGCTTTTCCTTTTTTTACTGTCGGTCATCGGAACTAATGTTAGGGGGATTTTTTGCTGGTGTAGGTATCCCGACAACCGCAAAACCATATTTTTTCGCATCATGCATCCATAACCGACACGATATTTCACCGAGGAACATAATTAATAATATTTTGCGTTTGCGGTGGACAGATAGCGGCGATGCCGGATTTCCATGTCTGCGTTATTGTCATCTGATGTACAAATATATAAGATGGTTTTTCATTCTTATTTTGGACTTTATACTCTCCAGAGGTGTCAGTAAACTTTCACTTAAACGTGAGTGGCTTCATTTGGCAGAACATGGAGGTTGATTAGCGAGAAACCACAGGATAAGTTTAAGAATTACATTAATTTTAGTATACCTAGATCCATTGTTCCTATTTTTTGCCTTCCTTTGACAAGATCAAGGCGGGAGTGCCACAGTGATCGATTTTGACTCCAGCATTGCTTTAAACTCCACATTGATGACCAGCATGCTCACCACTAAGAATAGACTCAATGCTATACATAGTTCCGATGGGTGGGCGATATATATCAAGCGATTGCTTATTTGGATGAGGTTACAATTGCATGGCACAGTATTTGACACAAACACAATTACACAGGATCTGGTAATCGTCGGGTTGTCCATTGAAAATTGGAAAGTACAATTGAAGTCCAGTCTATCCAAAGCCCAGATTTGGATAATTTTACACTGTCCATACAAGACGCAGACAATTTGACTAATTGGTGATTTTGCGATTTTTTGCCAAACCAAAATGAATTATAAATTCTCATTCATTGTGTCTTCGAGCTCGCTTCAATAGCTGTTCTTATCTCTTTCATGGCAATCACAGCATCCCTGTATTATCGATGTTAAAAGTATGTAATATGTCTTTATTGCATAATTAGCATCCCAATATAACATTAAAAAGTATGATGCAAATGGCGGTGTCTAGCCATTGGTCAACCTACTCAATTAATATTTGGAAATATATAAAAAAGTCTAAATCAAGTATACGAGGGGGTACATAAGAAAACGGAATTATTTTTTAAAAGCTATTTATTTTCAAGTTTTCACAAAGCAACCTTATCTCCTTCAAAATACTGTCCACTACAACTAATACAATTGTCCCACCGGTGCTTCCACTGCTCGAAACATTTTTTGATGTCTTCCTTAGAAATGTCTGACAGCTCCTCCCTCGTTTTTTTTCTTGACCTCTTCAATGTCGTCAAAGCGGCGTCCTTTCATACCCCTTCTCATCCCTGGAAATAAGAAATAGTCGCACGGAGCCAAGTCAGGCGAATAAGGTATGTGAGGCAACGGAACCATGGCATTTTTAGCCCAAAACTGTCGAACAGAGATGGCTGTGTGCGCAGGTGCATTATCGTGGTGGAAGAACCAGTCTCCTGACTGCAACAAATCGGGTATTTTTTGCCGAACACTGTTTCGCAATCGTCATAAAACCTCCAAAAAGCACAAGCTCTCGAATTTTTTCAACATTCTCGTCTATTCGGGCACAGCGAGGTTTGTCATTAATGGAGATTTCGCCATTTTTAAATCGAGCAAACCTCTCGTACACCTGAGTTTTTCCTATAGCACCATCTTTGTAAGCTATTTTCAACATTAAATAGTTGCAGAAGCATTTTTACCAATTAGAAAGCAAAAAAATACAGCTGCCCGTTGCTCACTGAAGCTTGTCATCGTAAAAAACGAAACAAGCACAAAACAGCTCTTGGAAAAATAATGACTACAGAGGAACGAAACAAGCCAGATCGACAACTCAGGTGGCACTCCTACTGGTAATGAGTTGCGCTGTACGCCCGTAGGGACACAAGCTCCGCCCACTGCAATGCTATTTCGGTTATTTTTGGGTACCTCCTCGTATACTATATACTATAAACTATAATGTCATTTTCCTTTTACTGGAGACTTAGAGTATTAAATGCTTTACAAATTTTTGTGTTGCTGTACAAGCGGCAACAAGAATTCTTTTAATTATTTGTAGTCTGTAGGAAAACATTTGATCTAAGCAAGGATAATACGTTATGATTCCATATAAAATATTAATGATTCACAAAATCGCTTTTTTGATTTAAGGCCGAGGAAGTTCCTGTTGGTTTATTACAGCTTCAGCCTAAAATAACATGTTTTGATGACGCTGTTAACATGCGTGTGAAAACGTGGGTCTTCGTCTATGAGTCGACCCGAATTTTGTGTTATGTGTCGAGATGTCTACGATAACATGACCGTGACTTCGTTATAGCTGCTCTTGCCCAACAGTCTCATTTGTGACTTCTCTCATAGCACTTGCGGGCTGCAAAGGTACGTCCTGCATTATGCTTTGCCTTAGCCGCGGAGAATAGTGATTGTGAACATGATGTTTCAATGCTGTATCGAACCCAGTTGCGACGTCGCTGATCTCAATTGAATTACATTTGCAATGCGGCGACGTTCTCCTTAAACATGCCTTTCGTCTCTCGAACAATGCTAAAAAGGGATATTTAAATTACCCGTTGAAAATTTTGCAGGCAATTCAGGTTTCCGGCAATGTACACAAAATAAACCGTAAAAGTAATTTCGAGACGGAGGCGAACGCTGCATCTCACCGCTGAAAATCGTTTGTTGGTGGTGCAACAGGAATTCCACCTACGAACACTGCTCAATGGACGTGCATTTGGAGGGTGCTTAAAAATATTAGATTCGTCATGAAAAACCTTGTTGTTCCTACTTCAAAGTTTAAAGAACTTCACAAATGGGTCTTAGTCTAGATAATAATAATTATAATAATTATAATAATTTTAATAATTATAATAATTATAATAATTATAATAATTATAATAATTATAATAATTATAATAATTATAATAATTATAATAATTATAATAATTATAATAAATATAATAATTATAATAATTATAATAATTATAATAATTATAATAATTATTATAATTATTATAATGATGTGATTTTTTTCCTTAATTTTAGCGTGTTGTTCTATTAAAATCTTAATAACTCAAAATGATGTAATTTGATCTGAATCAAACCTTATACCAAAAAAAAGCTTATGAAAAATTGATTTCAGGCTTGCACAAATATACAGGGTGATTTGAAACTTTTGTGAAAAAGTACAATTCGCGTTTTTGATCACCCTGTATGAGCAAAATAAAAATTCGAAAAAGTAACAAATAATATAAAAGCTTAGGTGTGTAGGTTTTCTTTAACAAAATTTAGGACTCCAAATTTCAAAATGGCGGATTGAGGGGTTGCCGAAGTGGACAGTTTTTCTGGACAAAACACCTTACATCTCAGTAGCTATTTACCAGAACCCCATTGTATGTTATATCAAGCTTCTTCTTTTGAATTGGTTTATTCAAATATGCAATAAAATTTGAGGCATTCCATTAAAAAAAATCACAACTTTCATATGTAGGTCAAAATTGGGACACCCTGTATAATTGCAAATATTTTACAAATGTGCCCTCAAATGTCGTGTATAACATCCTATAAATATATTTGCCCAAGATGTATTTATTTATTAATAATATTCCATCCACGCATGGATGGGCCACCCTGTACATATAGATCCAAGTTCTTGCAGGTATCGTCTGGTTAGATTTCGTGATTTTTATTTTTATGATAAAATCTGTATTATCAACACTTTCAACAGATTTGTAACCAAGATTCGCCATTTTAGTTTTTTGAGCATGTAGTACAAATCGCGATCCCTAGAATGATTTAGCCTTGCTGATCATACCAGGATATAAAGCACACAAGGAAGCTTAAGCGATGAACTAGCTAGGACCAAAAAAGGTATTGCCGAACTCTTGATAAATCTTCTTAAGGCCCAGCTAGAATAACCATAGACGAGTGTATCTAAGACTGAACCAAGAAAAAATCTGACAAAAATATAGGAACAGAGTTTATAAACGAAAGTATTTGCATTAAGACTGTCGTTTGAACTAACAAATGAAGCTCGTGCATATAATACGGAAGGCTACTTTCTGGTTGCAAGAACAGTACAAAAATGTGGAGCTACTGTTTTGCAAGGCCGAGGTTCGAGACGAACAAATCAAAAAATAAAGTAATATATGCAAAGTTCCTAATCAAATCTATGAAAGTGTTCTATATGAATCTTAGTAACATCAAGCTTAGCCTCCTAATATTTTGCGCTGAAATTCAATATAAACTAATCTTATATAGTCAGATGACAACATTAGCATTTTTGCAGTAATTCGGACTGTACTGATATGTAACTTGATTGCAACAAGCTATCAAACACATCATTCGTTAGTCATATCCATAAACACGTGCTAGTAAATCCAATATGTATACAAACTTATAATGTATTTCAGAGGAGGCAATAACAATGATAATTGGAAGCGTTATGAGCGTCATAAGGTAGTACAGCTCGCAATATATTCGGTTGTAGCCACTGATAACATTGTTTCTGTTTGTTGCAGTTATTTTCTGAAAGCACACGAATTATCTCCCATTTAGCTGCTCCCTACTAAGCATCAGTAAGTACCTTTGTGATAGATATTGTTTTAAGTAGATAATCCTAAACACATCAAAGCGCCTCTAATGTTAACCAAATCAGGGC